CTAGCGACGCCTGGAAAATTCAGTTTGTTCGTTGCTGTTTAGCGTAGCACTCAGCAATATTCCAGCTATCTGGCGGCCGTCTGTAAATAATCGAGTCTGGGCCAGACAATCCAGTGATCAGTATAATGAGCATCGATCTACGCAATTGGGATACGATAACATGTGTCAACCAAGTCTGCGAGCCTGACCACCCGATCCCGTTAGTCGCCTCTTACGACAAGCGTGGGTTACTGAAGATCAAGTCTAACCCGGATCATTACGGGTCGTTCGCCAATTGCTAACGCTGAACACCTGAATCACGGCCTTATAAAGCTGATTTTCCTGAAATACCATTCAAAACCCAAACCACAAAGTCTCACACACTCATCACAATATAACAAAACAACAAAAATAAATTCCCAATTATAAAGAAATATATATCTTTAATCGCACATCGTCCGACCAGATAAATCAGTCCATAGATAGACGTATTTTTAATTATACCTAGGTACATTTAAGACATTCACATATACAAACAATTCAATATTCTACCATATAAACATCTTTGGACGGAATGTTGAAATAATAGATACATCAACACTCGATAACGAGTTACATAACAGTGTGCTCAGTGTACACAAATGGCGCCCTCGTCTTATAATAAGTTATGCTCGAAATTGTTATAACTGTAACCAATGGTTACGAAACGACACTGGTGAAAAATCAAATATATATCTAAAAAAACATCAATGTTTGCTGATTTCATTTTTGTAACAGAGCTACAGATAACTTTTTGAGTCACTGAGTTATGTACTCGCTTGTGTTCATCTCAATTGGATATCCTAATTTTTATTTCTTTGAGAGGCATTTTAGAAGTTGTGAAGATGAAGGTAAACTAAGTTCTATGGATAGTCAACTTCTTTATTGCAATGAGTGCGACGTTTCGGTGTAGGCACTAACACCGTTATCAAGCAAGTGATACAACAATTTGAAACAAGGAGAATATATACATTGCTGCATATAAAGAAGTTGACTATCCATAGAACTTAGTTTTCCTTTATCCTAATTTTCCTTTGAGTAACCAAATAAATTGTACCCACCTCATTCAAACTCAACTGGGTATTTTGCTACTTTCCATTAATTGTAATAATATAATAAAGTTTAAATGTTTGTTAACGTGTTTGTTATTTATATTTGATCATGTAATATGAGGAACGATAAGAAAGACTGCAAGTTGCCAAGTTTATGTGCTGAAATAGAACCTCTCAATATACCACAGTTATTTTGTCTATCCACCGGTACGCAAGCTTAGATTTGACATATTTGTGTGTACGCATGTAAGATCAAATTTATTGAGTATTTACACAAATTCAAGCGTACTTGTACACAATAGACTTAATAGGAATTAAGTTTTCACATAAATATATGCGTAATTTACGCAGATACACAGCCTTCAATTGTCTGTACCTCTGATTGTAAGATTCATGTTAAAGTGACACTTTGCTGATAGTTATTTGGTCCCATAGTCCTTCAGCCAGTGAGAGATACCATGATGTTATTAGTTCATCTACACAAACACCACAAGTCCTGATAATCATGTGATTAAACACACCCGTTATGATATACAAACAATCAAACAAATCTCGTTATTTGATTTTAAATTGGAATACGTTCTGGTAATAAATAGAGACTAGAAATATGTTTATATGCTTGATAAAATAAATATAACAAATAGAAAACGTATATTTTCTCATTTGCTTGTAAAGATGTTACGATGATTTTCTCTTTTCGCAAAGAGGAATTACCAAATTTATAACAACAACATTTATAATAGTTCCGACTCGTGAAGATACTGGTTAGAATTGATGTTCAGTAACCCATGCTTATAAGGCGCTGTCCACTCACTATAACAGTTCCATAGTACATGTAACACCAGTGTTGACATTTCTGTATTTGACATACAGAGTCACAAGATCAATAATAGAAAGAAATTTCTATTAATCAATATTTGCAAAATGTAGTATCTTGACAACATACTTCAACAGTTGACAGATCAATATTACTTATTGATAAATTTTTCATAAGTTTTTGCGCATGCCCTCTCTACATCTGATCAAAGATTTCACAATCGCTAGGACACAACATATTATTGTTTATTGGTATTAGTCGAAAACCATAGTAGCATCGCCAGAGCTTATGCACTTTTAGTTAAAGATGTTTTGGTTAAAACCGTATTCGCTTATTCGCTTATACCTAACTGTCATACAAATAAGGCTGGCTGAAAAGAACGATAATCAGAAATATCGTCGATGGGAAGAATCTTAATGATTATCGATATCGACTGTTAGCAGAGAGTTCTTATGAATGTGGAAATGATTTTGTTGTCTCTATTAAATAATCCATGCCTAAATATATATATATATATATATATATATGTCACCACTCACCAGCGATCTGAAATATTATGTTTTCTTTGAGACCTTTGGGCATATTTGTTCAGAGTTACTTTTCCGGTATTTATCGATAATCGATCGATATTTAGTTAATGATTATCGATGTTTGGGTCAGGATAGCCAGCCTTACAGGCATGTTTACCCTTTTAAACTGCTGCTATATGTGTTGCAGTGGTAATCAGATTAGCGAATCATGACTTGCTATCTTATTCACTATATTGTCAGAGTGGCTGCCTTCAAACCCGTATTTTTGGGTCTGTTTAGCGACGAATTGTCACCGAGTGAGTTTAGTTTTACGCCGCTTTTAGGAATATTCCAGCAATATCATGGCGGGGGACACCAGAAAATGGGTTCACACACTGTATCCATGTGGGGAATCGAACCCGGGCTTCGGCGTTACGAGCGAACGCTTTAACCATTAGGCTACCCCACCGCCTCGCCAAAAAGAAAACCTCAGGGAATTTTCAGGTGACAGTTTGTCTCCTCAGTGTTATTTGACCCGCAGTTTTATCGCCCTGAATGAACATCATAGGACAAAAGAGAGTAAATATAATACAGAATACATGTGCACTCGGGAAGAGAAGAAAAGTGAGTTTACTTTTACGCCGCTTTTAGCAATATTTAGCAATATCACGGTGGGAGACACTATTTCGATCAACCGTTGAGATATATCATTTTCCTAAACATTTCACCTAATTGTAAATCAGAACCGAACAATTATTTTGTTCAGAAGTATATTTTTACTTTTCTATCGTTAGGTTTTAGAGGTCCTAGCGGGCTATTCTCTGTCACGTGGAAAAGAGTTCTTTGAAATGAGTGAAAAAACAGCCTATTCATTGACACCTCGTTTGTCTGGGGTTGTCCATTTGAAACGTTTTGACATTACTAAAGTGACAACGGTTCCCACGATCCGTTATTCGATGTCAGATATCAGATTAGAACGATACCGCTCTGGTTACATAGTCTTATATAACGTTACATATTATAACACCAGGTGTTTGAAGAATTTAAATGTTACAGGTATGTTACATAAATAACACAATGTAAGTTTGCCAACAATTTACCTAGGACGTGATAGTATCTGAAATATACATGATCGAAGTTCAAAGAAAAGGTTGTATTTCATTGCCTTGCAAGATCAGCCTTTGATAATTCTTTCCTTTCCTTTTGTTACAATTTAACTACAAAACAGCAAAAACATAGACTTAAAAGAGGTTTAAGGTCAGCTCAAGGTCAAATACAGAGAAAACAAATCAATATTATCGATAGTTCAAGGAAATCTAAGTTCCTAGTTTCGCAAGTAAGAGACTTGTACAAACTGAAATATCTAGCACGTCAGTATGCTGTTACATTTATAACATGAAAATACATATGCATCAAACATGCCACTTATTCAAGAATATACCTTAGTTATTAACCGACGGATACATTGCAGGATGTTCCACGTGTGTGCCTTAAGTGCCTTAAGCTGATGCGTATTACTACATAACACGGGGAACTGGCAATTAGATAATCATTTATAAAGAGCGTAAAGTAAATTGTTCCTCTCCAGCGTTAGGCTAGCCCATATCGCATGGCATGTCAAGGCATATCACATAATATGCCAGGCCGGATCACGTAGTATACAAGCGCATAGCACTTAGTATGCCGGTAGTGTGTTATATGACACACTAGCGTGTAACATATTGGACAACCCAATGTTACATACCCAAGATCTGTGTAACATCAATGTAATGCTATGTTACATCGTATCACATCCCCTTGTAACATCGTATCACATCCCCCATGTAACTTCGTATCACATCCAATGTAACATCCAAACGTAATTTGTGTTACTGTGTAACATCGTATCGAATCCCATGTAACCTCGTATGACATCCCATGTAACATCGACTGATTGTCCATTGTATCTCTGTGTAACATCGTATCACATCCCGTGTAACATCGTACCTTTAACATGTAACTGTTACATCATATATCATCCCTATCATATAATACTTCATACCCTCACAACATAGTATACAAACACCGTGTAACATTACCATACGTGCCAACAGTAAAGGGACAAAGAGGCATGAAACTGTCCTTGTCTCCGTCCTATATACATCAATATCACAACATGTTTATCACAGTTAATAAATCTACAACAGAAAATACATTTCTAACAAATCACAGTTACAGCTGAGTAAGTCTTATAAAAAACACTTGCCGTGGCTCGACCGTGCATTTATACCCACAGCAACTCCAAGAGTATCCCAGAAGAGTCCACGTTTTCAATACTACCACCCGAATGATCACTATGCTTACAGGAACTACTGCTGTTTTCTTCAATTCCATGTACAAATAGCCGCACTTATGGTATGACAAAGTCAACATCCGGCTGTGGTTTAACATCAGCTGGACGAGAATACACAACATAGTCTTGGATACTGGTAACCAAACAAAGTATCTTGATTCTGCTTAGCTGTGACACCTATCTGGATTGATACCCGCCCTAACTTTAAGCCAGAGTGAGTGAGTTGGGTTTTACGCCGCTTTTAGCAATATTCCAGCAATATTACGGCGGGGGACACCAGAAATGGGCTGCACATGGTCTAGGAAATTTGATTATAAATTAGTGACTTGAACGACTATTATATACATTGTGAAACAGGGACGACCAGGGCTTCTCTACACGACATGATCGTCCCTTATATGGGTACATTAATATTTGTGGTTTGACAGTCTGAAAGAAGTGACCACCTGTTAAACATAGTCCGAGAGGATAACCAGTCTTAATCATCCGACTCCACTTGGCGTAAAATACGGATGGATGCTATATCAATAAATGATTACAAATCCGTAAAGACACCAGGTGTTAACGAAAAGGGGAGGTGTCTTGCAGGTGTCTTGCCCCGCAGTCGTCACTCACAAAATCTGCGGGTCATAGTTTCAATTCAACGATTGAAAACGTAATACATCTAGACCAAACACGATATGAAAGCACACGCTGTTCATGGCTCTTACTGAATCCTCCCACTGTTCCACGTAGTAAAGGCCTTTATATGATAATTGCAACTTATTGGACTGACACTTCAGGAGGCACTTAGGGAAGCATTCCCCTCTAAATCCTTTTATTGAATCTTTGGCCGAGGGTTGAATCTAATCGCTGACACACTGTCCGGCACCTCGATGTCTGGGTATACACTGTTCATGTTATATCTGGCCGTGTTCATTAGTTTTTTGATGGCTTTCACTATATAGACGCCAGCAAGCAGTACTCCGCCTCCTGCCAGAGTGGCTGCAACCCCTACTCCGATGTAGTATGTCTTCTCTGGACAAGTGTCTACTGGGGCCATGGTTGTCCCCTGAAATAGATGGAAACACGCTTGTAAAACAGAAATAGTAAATTTTACATAGCAAATCATCATAAATTAAAAAATACAATTGCTATAAATTTGAATTTGAATGGAAAATTGGAATATCCGATATTCATTTTACCAATTCATTTTTACATAAATGGAAGATATATTTTCAAAATGTCTTCTTGACGTTGCATATACTTTTGAAAATTATAGCATTGGAGAAGTTTTGCAAAAATGTAACTGTCACATACAGTGTGCGCAAGAGACAAGAACGGTTTAGTAAACAAAAGAGTGAGTGAGTTTAGTTTTACGCCGCTTTTAGCAATATTCCAGCAATATCACGGCGGGAGACACCAGAAATAGGATTCACACATTACACTCATGCGGGGAATCGAACCCGGGTCTTCGTCGTGACGATCGAACGCTTTAACCACTAGACTATCCCACCACCCCAGTGAACAAAGGAAAGCATATCAATTGTTGAACTCATTTAATTCCACGTATGTATGATACATAAATAGAGTCATTGTACAATCACTGGTCGGCATATACTGTATGTACATAGTCATTATGTGCTATAGGTGTGATAGGTGTGGCCTTATATCTGCGTTAATCGTCACTTTAAGTTAATTAAATCAGCATAAACTGTAAAACGTTAATTGACCTTAGCAAATTTTAAGTTATGATATCCACATCAACAGAAAGTGAAACAGTCAGTCATTAAATTTATTCAATACAAGGTCAGTTCAACTTTTACGTTTAGCTTTCCATTCAAACTTCCATTGTCACTTTAACGCCACCAGAAAAAATGTCATTTATATTCAGTTTTGTAAAGGAGTATTATCTAAAAATTCCAATTAATATTTGAGCGTGAACGCATCAGTGAAAAAGATACAGTTCAATTGTTAGTTACGCTTACCAAAGCAGTTGAATTCGTTGTCTGTAGCGCCGTGCTAGAAGAAGTCGTGGCTGTTGACGTTGACATATTAGACGATGTCACTGTAGTTACTGTCATGGCAGATGTGTTGGGTGTACTTGTCACTGTTGTCCACGTAGGGGATAGAGAGGGCATTGGTGGAGTGACTGAACTTGTGGTCTTTCCTGATGTTGTAGACGTAGTTGCGGTTGTTGGGGTTGTGTTTGTGCTTGTAACTGTCGTCCTTGACGACGGGAATGATGTAAATGGTGTTGTGGATGCATTAGTTAGTATTGTGAAAAACGTTGTTGATGTTGTTGATGTGGAGTGTGTTGGTGTTGCGGTTGTCACAGCGCTGCTTGAGCTGGTGAATTTGGTCGTTGTGGGTCGTAATGTTGTGGAGAATGTAGTTTGTTGGACGGAGGGTGAAGATGTTGTACCGGCAGACACGCCAGGGGCAGTGCCACTAGATGGTGTTGATGTTGTTTGTGTTGAGGCGGTTGTGGAGTGTCCAGAAGTAATTATGCTAGAAAGAGTCGATCCAGGATGAATAGAAGTTGAAGTCACAGTGCTTATCACTGCTGATGATTTGGAAAATGATTCTGTAGTCGGGAAACTAGTAGCCCCTGTCACTGTGGCTTCAGATGATTCTGTTGTCGGGGAACTAGTAGCCCCTGTCACTGTGGCTTCAGATGATTCTGTAGTCAGGACACTAGTAGCCCCTGTCACTGTGGCTTCAGATGATTCTGTAGTCAGGACACTAGTAGCCCCTGTCACTAGTGATTCTGCTTCTGGTAGCCCCTGTCACTGTGGCTTCAGATGATTCTGTAGTCAGGACACTGGTAGCCCTTGTCACTGTGGCTTTAGATGATTCTGTTGTCGGGGGAACTAGTAGCCCCTGTCACTGTGGCTTCAGATGATTCTGTAGTCAGGACACTAGTAGCCCCTGTCACTGTGGCTTCAGATGATTCTGTAGTCAGGACACTAGTAGCCCCTGTCACTGTGGCTTCAGATGATTCTGTTGTCGGGAAACTAGTAGCCCCTGTCACTGTGGCTTCAGATGATTCTGTAGTCAGGACACTGGTAGCCCCTGTCACTGTAGCTTCAGATGATTCTGTAGTCAGGACACTGGTAGCCCCTGTCACTGTAGCTTCAGATGATTCTGTAGTCAGGACACTAGTAGCCCCTGTCACTGTGGCTTCAGATGATTCTGTAGTCAGGACACTGGTAGCCCCTGTCACTGTGGCTTCAGATGATTCTGTAGTCAGGACACTAGTAGCCCCTGTCACTGTGGCTTCAGATGATTCTGTTGTCGGGAAACTAGTAGCCCCTGTCACTGTGGCTTCAGATGATTCTGTAGTCAGGACACTGGTAGCCCCTGTCACTGTGGCTTCAGATGATTCTGTTGTCAGGACACTAGTAGCCCCTGTCACTGTGGCTTCAGATGATTCTGTTGTCGGGAAACTAGTAGCCCCTGTCGTTGTGGCTTCAGATGATTCTGTAGTCAGGACACTAGTAGTCCCTGTCACTGTGGCTTCAGATGATTCTGTTGTCGGGAAACTAGTAGCCCCTGTCACTGTGGCTTCAGATGATTCTGTAGTCAGGACACTGGTAGCCCCTGTCACTGTGGCTTCAGATGATTCTGTAGTCAGGACACTGGTAGCCCCTGTCACTGTGGCTTCAGATGATTCTGTAGTCAGGACACTGGTAGCCCCTGTCACTGTGGCTTCAGATGATTCTGTAGTCAGGACACTAGTAGCCCCTGTCACAGTGGCTTCAGATGATTCTGTTGTTGGGAAACTAGTAGCCCCTGTCACTGTGGCTTCAGATGATTCTGTTGTTGGGACACTGGTAGCCCCTGTCACTGTAGCTTCAGATGATTCTGTAGTCAGGACACTGGTAGCCCCTGTCACTGTGGCTTCAGATGATTCTGTAGTCAGGACACTGGTAGCCCCTGTCACTGTGGCTTCAGATGAGAGTGACACTAGTAGCCCCTGGTGGCTTCAGATGATTCTGTAGTTGGGACACTAGTAGCCCCTGTCAGCTTCAGATGATTCTGTTGTTGGGTAGCCCCTGTCACTGTGGCTTCAGATGATTCTGTTGTTGGGACACTAGTAGCCCCTGTCACTGTGGCTTCAGATGATTCTGTAGTCAGGACACTAGTAGCCCCTGTCACTGTGGCTTCAGATGATTCTGTAGTCAGGACACTAGTAGCCCCTGTCACTGTGGCTTCAGATGATTCTGTAGTCAGGACACTAGTAGCCCCTGTCACTGTGGCTTCAGATGATTCTGTTGTTGGGACACTGGTAGCCCCTGTCACTGTGGCTTCAGATGATTCTGTAGTCAGGACACTGGTAGCCCCTGTCACTGTAGCTTCAGATGATTCTGTAGTCAGGACACTGGTAGCCCCTGTCACTGTGGCTTCAGATGATTCTGTAGTCAGGACACTGGTAGCCCCTGTCACTGTGGCTTCAGATGATTCTGTTGTTGGGACACTAGTAGCCCCTGTCACTGTGGCTTCAGATGATTCTGTTGTCAGGACACTAGTAGCCCCTGTCACTGTGGCTTCAGATGATTCTGTAGTCAGGACACTGGTAGCCCCTGTCACTGTGGCTTCAGATGATTCTGTAGTCAGGACACTGGTAGCCCCTGTCACTGTGGCTTCAGATGATTCTGTAGTCAGGACACTACTAGTAGCCCCTGTAGCCCCTGTCACTGTGGCTTCAGATGATTCTGTTGTTGGGACACTAGTAGCCCCTGTCACTGTAGCTTCAGATGATTCTGTTGTTGGGACACTAGTAGCCCCTGTCACTGTGGCTTCAGATGATTCTGTAGTCAGGACACTAGTAGCCCCTGTCACTGTGGCTTCAGATGATTCTGTAGTCAGGACACTGGTAGCCCCTGTCACTGTGGCTTCAGATGATTCTGTTGTCAGGACACTGGTAGCCCCTGTCACTGTGGCTTCAGATGATTCTGTAGTTGGGACACTGGTAGCCCCTGTCACTGTCAGATGCTTCAGATGATTCTGTGGCTTCAGATGAGTTGGGACACTAGTAGCCCCTGTCACTGTGGCTTCAGATGATTCTGTAGTCAGGACACTAGTAGCCCCTGTCACTGTGGCTTCAGATGATTCTGTAGTCAGGACACTAGTAGCCCCTGTCACTGTGGCTTCAGATGATTCTGTAGTCAGGACACTAGTAGCCCCTGTCACTGTGGCTTCAGATGATTCTGTTGTTGGGAAACTAGTAGCCCCTGTCACTGTGGCTTCAGATGATTCTGTTGTTGGGACACTAGTAGCCCCTGTCACTGTGGCTTCAGATGATTCTGTAGTCAGGACACTGGTAGCCCCTGTCACTGTGGCTTCAGATGATTCTGTAGTCAGGACACTAGTAGCCCCTGTCACTGTGGCTTCAGATGATTCTGTAGTCAGGACACTAGTAGCCCCTGTCACTGTGGCTTCAGATGATTCTGTTGTTGGGAAACTAGTAGCCCCTGTCACTGTGGCTTCAGATGATTCTGTTGTTGGGACACTGGTAGCCCCTGTCACTGTGGCTTCAGATGATTCTGTAGTCAGGACACTGGTAGCCCCTGTCACTGTGGCTTCAGATGATTCTGTAGTCAGGACACTGGTAGCCCCTGTCACTGTGGCTTCAGATGATTCTGTAGTCAGGACACTAGTAGCCCCTGTCACAGTGGCTTCAGATGATTCTGTTGTTGGGAACTAGTAGCCCCTGTCACTGTGGCTTCAGATGATTCTGTTGTTGGGACACTGGTAGCCCCTGTCACTGTGGCTTCAGATGATTCTGTAGTCAGGACACTAGTAGCCCCTGTCACTGTGGCTTCAGATGATTCTGTAGTCAGGACACTGGTAGCCCCTGTCACTGTGGCTTCAGATGATTCTGTAGTCAGGACACTGGTAGCCCTGTCACTGTGGCTTCAGATGATTCTGTAGTCAGGACACTAGTAGCCCCTGTCACTGTGGCTTCAGATGATTCTGTTGTTGGGACACTAGTAGCCCCTGTCACTGTGGCTTCAGATGATTCTGTAGTCAGGACACTCAGATGTCACTGTTCTCTGTTGTTGGGACACTAGTAGCCCCTGTCACTGTGGCTTCAGATGATTCTGTAGTCAGGACACTAGTAGCCCCTGTCACTGTAGCTTCAGATGATTCTGTAGTCAGGACACTAGTAGCCCCTGTCACTGTGGCTTCTGATGGCTTCAGATGATTCTGTAGTCAGGACACTAGTAGCCCCTGTCACTGTGGCTTCAGATGATTCTGTTGTTGGGACACTAGTAGCCCCTGTCACTGTGGCTTCAGATGATTCTGTAGTCAGGACACTGAGTAGCCCCTGTCACTGTGGCTTCAGATGATTCTGTAGTCAGGACACTAGTAGCCCCTGTCACAGTGGCTTCAGATGATTCTGTTGTTGGGAAACTAGTAGCCCCTGTCACTGTGGCTTCAGATGATTCTGTTGTTGGGACACTGGTAGCCCCTGTCACTGTGGCTTCAGATGATTCTGTAGTCAGGACACTGGTAGCCCCTGTCACTGTGGCTTCAGATGATTCTGTAGTCAGGACACTGGTAGCCCCTGTCACTGTGGCTTCAGATGATTCTGTAGTCAGGACACTGGTAGCCCCTGTCACTGTGGCTTCAGATGATTCTATTGTTGGGACACTAGTAGCCCCTGTCACTGTAGCTTCAGATGATTCTGTTGTTGGGACACTAGTAGCCCCTGTCACTGTGGCTTCAGATGATTCTGTAGTCAGGACACTAGTAGCCCCTGTCACTGTAGCTTCAGATGATTCTGTTGTGGGGGAACTAGTAGCCCCTGTCACTGTGGCTTCAGATGATTCTGTAGTCAGGACACTGGTAGCCCCTGTCACTGTGGCTTCAGATGATTCTGTAGTCAGGACACTGGTAGCCCCTGTCACTGTGGCTTCAGATGATTCTGTAGTCAGGACACTGGTAGCCCCTGTCACTGTGGCTTCAGATGATTCTGTTGTCGGGACACTAGTAGCCCCTGTCACTGTGGCTTCAGATGATTCTGTTGTCAGGACACTGGTAGCCCCTGTCGCTATGGCTTCAGATGATTCTGTTGTGGGGCTGGTGGTTACCTCTGTTGTACTTTCCTGTGTCGGAGATGTGCCTTGCGAAGTGCTTGATGCTTCCTCTGTAGAGGTGGATGTTTGAGTAGATCCTGTAAAGGATTCAGTTGTGCTCTCTGTGGGACTCACGGACGAGAGTGTGCTGGACACTTCAGTAGCTTCTGTTGTTTGGATGGAAGACGATGAGATTGTGACTGCTTCCTGTGTGGATGTGGATTCCGAGGTTGCCATCTGACTTGCAGTAGATGTTTCTGTGGTGGCCGACTCTGGAGAAGTTACCTCTGTTGTCATGGACCTTCCCGTAATTGCTTGTGGTGACGTAGTTTCCTCGGAAGATGTGGAAGCTTGAGAGGTGGTTTCCTCAGTGTGAGTAGATGTGGGGCTGGTGGTGGTTACCTCTGTTGTACTTTCCTGTGTCGGAGATGTGCCTTGCGAAGTGCTTGATGCTTCCTCTGTAGAGGTGGATGTTTGAGTAGATCCTGTAAAGGATTCAGTTGTGCTCTCTGTGGGACTCACGGACGAGAGTGTGCTGGACACTTCAGTA